TTTTTTACCCATGTTATAATTTATTATTTATATAATTATATATATATATATGGTAAAATGAATATATAGGATATTCCTTTATTTTATTTATGCAAAAAAGGAAATGAAAATAATTATGTCGTATCGGAATTATATTAATAATATTAATATTTATAAAAAAGGCTGAACCGGATTGGACCGAATAGCCGTAGTTCTTTCGGCACAGTCCAAAAAGACGGGGCAAGCCTTATTGGTGAAATACTGACCTGATCCAAAGATGGACTGTCAATAAAATTTTAATGCTTTAAAGGCGCTGTTGTAGGTAACACGAGAAATCAGACGGACCTATCCACCCATCCTAAAGATATAGATTAAAGTTTTTGTGTGAGAGTGATTTGGAAGCTTGTCATTATCAATTTCTTTCAACATTTATTATTGTAACTATAACGATTATTACAGTGCCAAGGACCAATTTAATCAACAAGAATATGAACGAGATTACTATTAAAAAAAAAACATCGCTAAATGAAACGTTATTTTATTTTTTTTTTTTGATTTGTCAACATTGATAAGTCAATTATACAAATCAAGATATTGATTGGTGATATATATTTTTTATGATCACTTATAAATAACATGATAATGTTTTTTAAGCTTACGATAAAAACTGCCAAAAATAGAAAACTTTGATCATATAGATTAATTAATTAATAACCATATATATAAAGATAATAAGATAAGACAAAGATCCCTTATCATAATGACGAAATTTATTTTCAAAGTTACACTTTAATAAATATAAAGAATCGATTGATTGATTATTGAGTTTTCATTCATTTTGCAGAGAAACATTGTGTACTACCCATATCAAGGTTGTTCAACCAGCATCAAAGGTTAGATGCAATTTAGAAGAAGTGAAGAATAAGACATTTAATACCTTCTTGTGCTGCCACAGCTATGTCATGGGAAAATTGCTGCACGTACTAAAATTTTTTCAGGTAACAAACAATATTTATTTTTATATATTTATTCAATTTTAACTACAAAACCAACTTATTTAAAACAATTGGATATACTCGTTCCAATGCTCCAAGAACCAGTCCCGAATCAAGTACAGAATGTCAAAAACTTAGAAGCTCAATTAAGAAATCTTGATTTTGTTAATCTAACAAAACAACATCTATGTATGAAAGCCTAAATGGTGAAAATGAATTGAAAATTATATTGTGAAAAGTATTCAACAATAAAAATACAACCCATTTATCTAAACCTATTCCAATAACCAAAGAAAAAGCAACCGCTCAGGAGGATGAATTAAAAATGATGAAACAAAAATATTGTGGATTTAAATCAAAAAACAAAGGCGATACAAGAGGCAAGATGTTTATTTAATGAAGAAAATGAAATCAATGATTCTGATTTTGTAGAAAGTTCAGTTTAAAATCGTAATAAGTATAATCAAAAGATACTAGCATTTAACTATTAATGTTATAAACATATTAAATTAAAGAATAGTCGAAATTAAAAATTCTATTCAGCATTCCTGATCCTGTTTAATGAGGCCTGTCATAAAATGGTTTTTACTCGAAGTAAATTTCCACGTAATTATTCCAATACTATAAACATTCGGGGGGTTTTTTTTATACGGCATTCCTAATAATACTTCAGATGGCATGTGTGGATGGAAGCACTCTTTCGAAATATTATCTGAATTATTATTATTATTGTTATTGTGGCTTGGCTGACCTAATCCCACGATAATCGCTGTGTAAATCACGATTTTGACAAATAATTATGTAAATCTAGTGGATTCCATAACGATTATCCAATATAATTGTCTTTAGATTTGTAAAGAAATTTAGCGAGTTCTTTATTTCCACTTAATATAGTTAACTTTTTGATTTTAATTTCCATTTCTTTATTTTATTATTTTATTATAATTTGAAATTCTATCATTGGGTAAAAGGAATCTATTTATAAAGTTTAAGTTAATTATCTAAACGTAGAATATTATTATTGTTTCACATCTTTTTCTATTAGGCAATTCATTTCCAAAAAAAAAAATCAACAATTCTATTTTAATGTCTTAACGCCCAGGTGGAATAAAATAATCGAATGCCCGATTTGAGAAATTTTTATTATCAAATTTTTCTTGAAAAAAAATCTAGTTGTTATTAAAAAATAAATTTCCTCGCTTTTTTTCAGATAACGATCACAAGGAGTTAGATTTTTAATTTGTAGTTACGTGAACGCTGGTTCTGTAAATATAGCTAAAGGTGATTATAGTAAAATAAGTTAATGAAATATACCAAAGGGATTTAAATAATAATTATATATGTATATGTATATATAGTATGTATATTTATATATTTTTTTATCAAAGATTTGGAATATTGAATTTTTTTTAAAATGATTTACTAATTGTATTAGAAAAGATTATATTCCAGAAAGCGCCTCAACATTAGTATAATTTCGAAATTATATGATGCAATCTAAGAATTCATAGTATCCTTCTTCCTTTAATCTTGAATGATTAGTAACAAGAATGAATAGTTGTAATAACAACGATGGAAGTATTCGATTCCCCACACTTCTGCCGAACGCTAGTTCAGTTGCTCCATAATTTTTCTGTTCTTTCAGCAAACTATTATTTGCATAAGAAATTACATGTTCCTTGCTATTATCATCTACTTGTGCTGATACTGTACCCAGTCCTTCATATGAAGCGTTTTATTAAGATCTGGATAGATCAAGGTTGGCGCAGAAATCAAACGTTCTTTCAAACAATCAAAAGGTTTCTGTTGTATATCAGTTCAGTCAAAGGAGCATTCTTTTAAGTGAGTGAGTAATACAGAAGTTGTGCAAATTTTTGACAAATTTACGATAGTAGGATGCTAAACCTAAGAATCCTCTCGATTTTGTAGTGTTAACTAACTGGTTGTGGATATTCCTTTCTTTTTCGATTTTTGATGGATCCATCCCCACCAATTACATGTCCTAAGAAAAGTGAGACTTGGTTTCCAAAATGACATTTTTCTGCGTTTAAATTTAGTTCCGTACTTTTTATTCTTTCGAATACTTGTTGGAGTCGGGTCGTGTGATCTTAAAATATATATTAGATCCAGGTAGACATACTAAATTTTTCCACAACATACCATGTACATTTGATCCAGGAGCATTGATAAGACCAAATGACATTACTTTGAATTTGTAGTTACCATATTTGATGGTGAATGTGGCTTTGTATTTAACTTTGTGACTCGTAACATACCATATATTCGTGGGAGGGGTAAGCATCTTTTTTGTTATTGAATTTAATTTTCTATATTTCACACAAAAACGTGATTTCTCATTCTTCTTCTTACTATTACTACTGGTAATGTCCATAGATTGGTGGATGGTGCAATAAAATTATTGTTCAGGATTTTATTGAATAAATTCGTTTTCGTGATACTCTATAAGGGCGTTACTTAATAAGTTTTCATCACGGTATCTATAGAATGGCAAGCTATGATTCATCTCTTGCAAAAATATCTTGACATTCTTCAACTAGTTTATAAAACTTCTCTTTCTGAGGAGTAGTTAATGGGCCAACATTTAAATTAACTCGTACACTTCTAAATTCGAGTATTTCTACCTCAATGTATTGATTGACTTTATCATTTCAACGCAGGATTAAAATTATCAGCATACAAATTTCCTTCATACCCTTCTTCAATTTTTTCTCCTCCTTCTTCATCATTTTCAGTAGTTGGACCACAATACTCCTCTTTCGCAAATCTAACATTGTTTTGCCTAATATAGTGGGTATTTATAATGTTTTTCCCTTTCTACATTATTGTCAGCTTAGAAGAGTTTCAATCGAACTGTGTATATTACTAACCTTCTTCAACCCAGCAGTAATTGATGTTATTAACGTCAGTCGTATCAAAAGAGATGGGAGTGTAAAAGGCTCCAATACAAATGGAGAAATAATTAATCTTTCCTAATGGTCTTGGTAGACTTCCTACAGCTTTAATAAGAGTATTGTTAGTAGTTTGTTCAATTTCATATCCTAATTCATCAAGTAGGAGCTTCGAAACAACACTAGAAGCAGCTCCGTTATCTATGGTTGCAGCCACAACAGCATTTTCAATGATGACTTTTTGTCTGAGTTATCCTCGAATTTCTTGATTCAGTAGCATAATATTAACTACTTGATATTTTTTAGGTTTTCTGAATCCTTGTAATAATTTAGGTACTTTTAATAACTGAGCCTACCCCATGTCAACTTTACTTTCTTCCAATCCATTCCAAATATCGAATTCTTGTACTTTGCTCACTTTTCAACTGATTTTCAGGTTGTTTAAGTTCTTTAGATTGTTGACGACTAGAAGTGGATGTCGTCAAGGATTAGAGTTTGTTGATTGTCTTGACTTGCTCTTTTCTCAGACATGAATTCATGTAGTCTATTTTGGTGATCCATCTTTTCAAGTTTGACTCTTTTCTTGACACGGATTTTGATTTTAATTTTGCTTTTAACTTCATCTCGTTTTATTTATCTCTAGTGTAGGTTTTGAATCTTGTAGCAGCAGCAAAGACATCATATTCAGAACTATTATATTCTTTTCCAAATGAAAGAATTTCTTCATCAAGCACACACTCGCTTTCTAAAGGTGTGCTGAGAAGTTTAAATGTTGATGATTCATTTAGTGAGTATTACGATTATTAGGATTATTATAATTATTGTATTAGGATTGGGATTATTATGACTATTGTAACTTACTCTTTATCTCATCTGGCTATTGTCGCTATTAGTTCTACTAATGCTCAGATTATTAGTGCAATTTCTTGACAAATGGCCTGGATTACCACAATTGTAACTGAATTAGGGCTTCTTTTGCGAACCATCGTAAGTATTGTGATCATTATAATTTCTCGTATGAGTTAATACGATCTTGTGTTGTCAAAACCCCAGTCAACTCAGCCAGATTCAGAGTCATCCTAGTAAACTTCACTCCAAATCATTAATTTGGTTCACTTGTCCACTAAGGGATGCTGATGCGCTTGATGGAATAGATCGAGTGTAAGTTTGGCCAGTTTCAAGATTTCTTGCTGCATCAATTGTACCATCTAATGTACTAATATCCATTGCTACTAGGTAAGTTGCATGACGTGCTCTTGGGCCTTGTAGGAACATAAGAGACTGATAATTCTTCTTCCAAATCAACCCTTTCATTAATTTGATCTAGCTGTTGGATCAGATTCATTAGTTCTTTATTCCAACGTGTGATACGTGCTTCCTCCATGAAACAGGTTTCAAAAAGGGTGACAAAGCTTCCCTTCTCATTATTATTGTTTAATTACTTTAAGATACCATTTCCTCAATCAGATGATATCAACTTTCTTGTTGTTTTCCAGTTATTCTTTGCCCTTTCAGAATTCATTCAAACTAGCTCATTCCTTCAACGATTGGTGGTTTTTTGTAATGCTTCATTCAATTATTCTGTGATGTTGTTGATTTAAAAAAATAATAAAAGAAAATAATATTTTATCTATTTTAGGTAAAGCTTATTCAATAACGTATCAATTAAAAAGAAAATGAAACAGAATTTGGATTCGTTTATTCACCAAAAATGTTGGAAACGTGAGCACGTGACATGAAATGTAAAACGTGAGAATAATAGTAAATGATTCAATCATACAATGATTGTGGAAAAACAAACATTTATTGAAGTAAGAAATATGTATTATTAAAACTCCAACTCAAATTTTGCTCACCTTATATATATATATATAAAGAGTTCTTTGGCAATTATGAAATTTCTACAATTTCTACTACAACAATTGCTTTCTTTAAAAGTTACCATGAGTCCTTATTTGTTCAATATTAATTAATTATCGAACCGACCATAACAACGTTAATTATTAAAAACATAATTAAAGAAAAAAACAATTCCTAGAATGTATATTTAAATATATTCCTCGAATACAATATTCCTATCTCAATTCTTGATCAAACATTCTATTATCAACAGTCTCAGTGTAGAATCGCCACAGCATACTAAAATCTTGACTTTACAAATGCTTTCAGATTGCTCTGCCTTTTCCAACGCCCGGCCAAAACGTAATTGCATTGACCAAGTCTGCAATTATCTAGGAAAGGAAATGATGGTCAATTCATAAAAATCATATATACACGTATACTATAACAAATTTTAGTAAACGTCTTTGTTCTATAAATTAAGTAGCACACCAAAATCAAGTCTCAATTTTCGACTCTTCAATAATACACTGACTAGATAATAACAAATACTTATCTAATTCAGGTTAGCAATGTCACGGCCAATGATCCCTTCAAAAAAAGATAGAAGGTTGTCGACTCGTTTGAAAAAAGTATCAGCTGGGGATCAAATAAATTTTACGATTCAAGAAAAATTCATTTAAATTTAGACAAAACATATACTTTCGGTACCTTTTTGAAAGACTGTCATAGTCACAAAGAGTTTTTCCCATTTAATGAGACAAAACAAAATAAAAAAGAAATGGAAAGTTACCTTCCCTTGGATCTGATCATTTTTGAAAAACATCCTAGAGAAAATCAGCTCTTTAACATGATTCTGAATCTATTCTTCATCATCATTGAAACACCGCCCTCCTATCAACTTTACAACTTGGCTGGTATGATGATCAAGTCGATAATTGTGGAATGAGAAATTCGACCTTTCTTGTGTTTCTAAAGAAACAAATGTGAAAAGATTATTAAAACGGATGGTATGTTTGTTAGTGGGATTTTAAACAGGCCCAAAAAATCACTTTAGAAGAAAATACAAGCGTAGTCGGTAACCCAAGTATGACACCTTCATAAGCAACTCATGCAGCTGTTGTTTCATAATTAGGAATCAGTGATAAAACACCAGTAACAGCAGTAGATCTAGGTTGCAGGGATGCTCAAATAGAGAATGGAGAACAGAATCAAGGCAGGTGTGTACAATTATTTACAATGAATCAATTTGCTGTAATATTATTGGTTATTATTATAGATAAGACGCAAAAAGAAGGACTTGGTAATGTATTGGAACATGGATCAGGAATATGCCAGCGTCCAAAATTAGCACAGTTTAGGCATTCCAACAACGCTTAAATTATGTCTTCCATCAACTTCAAGCAGGCTTGGAGTTTTATGGCCAACGGAAATGGAAGTCATATATATAGTAATAGAGAAATAAAAGGTTCTCCATAAGTTTTGCAAAAAGCTTACTGCAGGCGACAAAATAACATTTGTTGATGCCAAGTATCTGTTGGAAATGCGCTTGGACCTGTGAAACGCTCTTAGGCATGGACAATACGTCAAAGCCATAGTGGACATTGACGAATTCCGTACAAGTGATGTCTAAAATTTGTGTAGCCACTACCAGCTTAAAGAAGTGAAGAGTCAAAATATCAAAAGGGTTATCGTCGTGAAATTCATGATGTGCGAGCGTGTGTGCCCTAACACACTTTGTCGCATAGTGTGGAATTGCGATCATTGAACACCTTTCAGATATTTTTGGCAATGGAAGGGGGTCGAATATTTTAGAAGAAATATTAAAGAAACATAAGTGGTCATTTCCGGCTTAGATAAGTAATGGCAGCTTTAAATGGTTCACAATCACTGCAGTGTACTTAAATGGTTAATCGGTCATTTATCACCGGTAAATTTTTCTGATATATAAAACTTTCTCTAAGCATATCACTTCCTAATATGAAAATGATCTCTGAGATGAGTTTGTAAAAAAATTTTTGGTGTTGTCCTTGTGGCTTGTACAAATTTCTTTAAAAGTTAGTCGATTGGCTATTTTGCTTTTGCTGACCAAGATCGTGATCAAAAAAATTATGCGAGTTACCATTAAAGAATATTCTGACCGTTTAAGGGATAATAATATTAATAATTATAACCAATAAGCCAGTAATATTAGAATAAAAAATAAATAATGTTCAGAAACTGATATCCGGTACCAGATCAGCATTACCATCATTTCTGTATATATATATTTAGTGTCATTAGGCACGGGTTTTTTTAAGTGTAATTTTAGAAAAGGAAATGTATTATTAGTTACATATATGCCTGCATGTAATTCTTTATATTGTTTATCACAAGGATCAGAATTATAGAAACTTGTTGAATAAATAAAAAAAAAGAACGAATGATTTTAAAATTTGATAAAAAAAATTTTTCTTTTATATATAGTTTAGGATTTTTGTAATGTAATACATGGATTTTTTTGAGTTCATATTAATAAGAAGAGCTGTATCGTTATTTAATGTTATTTCTTTCTAAATGGTTTATTTATACAAACAAATAATATTAACATACATATAAGGCTTTTTATTTAGGAGTACAAAATTAAATTGAATTTTACAAGAAACAGGATATATGCAGGCACAATACGTGCACTTCATACAGCGAGTATATTACAAATTATAGCAACCAGAACAGTAATTACAATTATAAGTTCTGCACGCCCAACCCAAAAGGTATACAAGTACAATTTTTACATTAAATAACCTTGAATAATTGTACCCATTGCACGAAGTGTGTTGTAATCGATCTAATACTACCTTGAAGACGTGCCATTCTACGATTCACTGTTATCTTTTAATTGGCCCTTTAGAATTAGCGCAATTTATCATAATAAAACGCTGCGGTATTGCTTGGGAGATAATTATTTTTTTTTTAATATAAATAAACTTTAAACCTGTTATACTTGCTGAATATAGTCTTGATGATACCAAACCATTGATTATTTAATTCTTTGTTGTATTGATGTGTCAGCTATTCAACTTGGTTTCAAGTGTCAAACTCGCCATTAAAGTGTAATTATTTTGGATTTGACTATCAAAAATCTCCTCGGACGCGTGATGGGAAAAGAAATGAAAAAAAAGAACATCAATTTCATTGTTTTCCGGATACTCAAATGTTAGTCCTGTGGTGTTTACATCAAAAATAGCAGACTCTAGAATATAAGCTTGAGGGTCTGGATCATTAACAAAGATAACGTTTCCAAACAGTAGAATTGATTGTATCCTTGGCCAAAATCCTTTACCGCCAAGCAATGAACTGCATATTGATGATAGATACTCGTAAAAGTGGTTATAGTATTGTTGTCACCCATGTTAACATAGGAGACTCTCGAGTACAAACAAAATCACTCTGAAGAAGTTCGAATTTATAAAAAGCATAATAACTCGACTAACGAACGAGTCTATTGTATTATGTCTTTATAGCGGACAAAAATGAAACAATAAATGGTAAAACTTGAAATTTCACACGAACAAATAACACCGTTGTTGGTAATTATGAGAGAAGAACGTTATTGTTTTTCATAATCTGCGATGGCAGTTTGTGTTATTTTATTTTTTAATAAAAAAGTGTTAAATTTATTTATAAATAGTGCACGGCATAAATATCTTATCAGTCATATTATATCACACACTAGTTGTCATAAAAATGATTTCATAATAACTCGAATTTCATTACTGAAGTGAATACATTCTTTTGATTTGTCTTTTAATATGTGACTTATTTACATATGCTTAATATGGCATAAAAAAATAGATAATTAATTATAATTAATTATATTACTGGGGTAGATTAAAATGATAATGGCGCGGCCAAGTACTACTTTAATGATAACAAATGGTTTGGTTTGATGCAGCGATTGCAGATAGTGTAAGCTTTATTTTATTTAATTATTTTTATATAAGGAATATTTAGTAAATCCGAAACTACATTATTAAAATTTTCTTTTATATTGAAAGAACTCTCCGAGTAAAAATCACGCTATTCAAAATGTAAATTAATTTAAACTTTGTATGGGTATTGTTTGTTACTGAAGTTTTATATAAATTTCGATTTGCAATTCATCTTTTAGATGGCTTTGATGATAAAACTTCTAAAAATGTGAATTTGGTGGATAGATGCACAAAACATAAAACATGGATAAATCGGAGTTGAATTTTGAATTCCATTTCTTCCATATTTGCAAATTCAAAAAAGCCACCAAAAGTTGTATAAAAAACTATAATATAAATTGTAAACAATATTTGATTTTTTTTTCAAATAATGATTTCCCGATGCTGTGACCTGAAAACTCCTAGTTTATATTCTTTCCCAAAACTGCTTAGAGAATTTAGGGTGACGGCATCCCTATAAACACGAAAAACGTATAGAAATTGTACTAGTACTGGTCCGGAATATTCCTGTAGTGTTTTGTTATTATTATTATTATTATCTGTTATTATTATTATACGGAAAACACACGGAAGGCGCATTTTTACAATACTATTACTAGTACATTTTGATTTTCGGTTTGTAAAACAGGAAACATACGGAAAATATACTTTTTCCGTGGATTAATTTCAATTTTTAAATTTCGATTTCAAATTCGATTGATCATGTCATGTTTGAGAATCTGATCGTCGTGATTGAATCTAGACCATGTAGAGGAAGATAGTATGAGTTTTTGGAATAGAAGATCTGCAAACTTTGGCTTCAAGTGACACAGTCAAATTTCGTTTCAAGAAACGAATTATATAAATAAATAAAACATATTAAATATCAATATAAATTAATTAAAAATACGTTATGTTAATCGCGCGTTTCTTATGTGGGCATTTTCATAATTGAGTTAACAACACTTATTATTATTATGTGCAACTGATCACAAAGGATACTTGCTTAATCAATTAAATAATGATCGTCGCATTATTTTTCCTTTTTTTCCTTCCAAAATGCCATTTGGTCCCCATATATTAGTTTTGACTGTATTGATATTTATATATGGCAGGTCATCTGGTATGGCACATCACAAGATCGTTGCATTTTATAAGAGAAAAATTTTTAATTGAAGCTTGTCATAAATCCTTTGGATCTCCTGATTCCTTGTGAACGATTAGAAACTCGTCTGTGATAAATTGAATATGTTCATATGTTCAAAGTTTGGTCATTATACTATATACAATGTAAATTTACCATAAATCAATCACTAACTGTACATCATTTAAGTAATGTTTATGACAAATCCTATCACTGAATATTATATTAATAAGCACTTAAAAATATTCTGTCATCATGTTTATTGGTTTACATTAATTAAAAGATCGACAGACTGTTATTTTTTTTTATGTAGTCTGTTTTCCACAAAAAATCAAACACGTCTCTGCTTTATGAAAATCAAGAAGGATTATGATAATTTCATTATTTGTTTGAACAATTTAGAAGTTGATAATGCAGGAAAAAATTTAAATAATTTATAAAAAAAGTAAAAAGAAGTCGGGAAAATAGCCAAGCTAATAATAAATAAACAATGATGTAGCTTCAGAACATTTCAAAGAAACGCCCACACTACCAAAAACTTTTCAGAATATCTCGCCTACACCATATTAGATTTGTCGTGTATTTTCACAGAAAAACAATTGTAACAAATATAAAACTTGTACGCACATATATATATATATATTAATATATAGGAAAAATCCTAAACAATAGGACAAATATATATATATATATATAAAGAGTTAACAGTGAATGAATTAAAAATTTGTTTGACATTGGGTAATCTACATTATAAGCAACTATTAGAGACTGCTGGATAATTGAAGTATCAAAGGCAACTCAAACCATCCATCGAAATTGATGAAGATGAAGAGATGTCTGAAAAGAAAAACTATTATAAAACATTGTGTTTCTAAAAATTCCAAGTTAATTGGTGAACATTAGTGAATACTTTGAATATCTGAAGAAGGAAACTCCTGCTTCTGATGTAGGTTTTAGTACGGTTTTTTAAAAAATAAAATCCTCACTAAATTGTTACATAATTCTCAAAAGGGCATATTTGGTATTCTATATGCAATATACCGTGCTGCAACAATTGTCGTCCAAATTGTTCAAACGCTATATAATTCTGAACAGGATAATTTCAACGTAATTTTTAGTTATTTTTGTAAATAATAAATTTTTTATTATGTAAATAAACTTAAAATAGTATCTATTGTGACATTGGGTAAATAAACTTTCATTGGATTGCTCAAAATGGCCGTGCAAATTTTATTGGCCAAATTCAGCATCCTAAATCGGTTGTTATTATTGATGGTTTCTTGAAC